AAAAAAGGAAATTAAACGTCGAGAACACCTGAACCATTAAGTATATATAAGCAACCCTCGACCTTCATTGTGTTCACTATTCATTCTTCACTCTACTCACAATTCTCTTTCTTTGACCCAAAGCGTTTCTCTTCTCTTCCGATCCGAAACCCTAGAAGCTTTTTTTTGCGTAAACAATGGAGAAATCCAAATTGTCTGTGAGAAACCCGACCCGTTTCAAGAAATCGTCCGTCTCTTCCACGATTCCCGCTGCCAAAAAGAACCCCAACTTGTCTTGAGAGAACAGACTCTCCTCAAGAAAGCGTACGAGCTTGCTACTCTATGCGACGTCCAAGTCTTGCGTACTCTATTACAGTCGTGACGGAGAGCTCATCAAGACGTGGCCGGAGGATCAATCAAAAGTTAGAGACATGGCGGAGAGATATAGCAGACTAAGCGAGGTAGAAAAACGGAAGAAAAGCATCAATCTTTCTCTGTTCCTAAACAAGAAGATGAACGACGACAGGAAGAAGTCTCTCGAGAAAAACGACAACAAATTCTCGCAGAAAATCTCGGAGATGGAGGATTCCTTGGTCAAACGTCTACAGATGTTTCAAGACAAGCTTCGGCTTCTTCGACTAAACCCTCATGATCATCAGACCGAGATGTGTGCGGTTTCAACGGATCATCATCTATCTCCTTCGCTAATTGTCGATCCTCAGACAGAGCCTTCAACGAATCATCTGATTGCACAGAGTCGCGATGCTTCTTCAAGTTGTTTATCGACCGTGAATTATCCGAGCCGTGATGTTTACTCAACTGATTTATCGGCGTTGAATTGTCCGAGCAACTGCTCGATTCTTCTCTATAACCACGACAACGCTACTTACACTCAATTGTCTTCGGCCTTTGATCAGAGAAGCTGCAACAACTTTCAGATGCAGACTCAATTGTCTTCCGCCTTTGATCAGAGAAGCTGCAACAACTTTCAGATGCAGACACAAAACCCACTTCTTAACTCTGATCAGTTTGCAACATGGAATCAGATTCAGACACCATCTTTTGGAGAGCAGTTTATGTACCCTTCTCCTTCTTGCTGTTAGGTGTCTTGCTCGCTTAAAGACGAGATTTTTCATCACTAGGTCAACATTTTATTATATATCTTGTATTTGCTCTTTGTTATTGTCGAGCCTGTAATTTGTAATTTGTTAGAGAATCAAAACATTCTTGCCTCTTTTTATTTTTCTTGTCTTTCTTTAATCGGAGTTTAAGTTGTACACAACAATCATCAGATAATGGGAATAAAGTAAAACCGGGAAAAGAAATCACAAGTTAAGAAGCTTTAATATGGTTTGATGATAAAGATAAGTAAAACACTTCAATCTTGTCCTACTCTTGTAATTTGTAAAAAAAAGAAAAGAAAACAAAGTAACAGTATGTATCAGAAGAACAAATCAAACATGAAAGGTACGAGTCGGAGGATCTCATTGATATTCGGCAGTCTTGGTGATGAATTCTTCAAGCAAATCCTCAATGCTCTTCAGCTCGTGAGAATGAGCAATGTGCAGAAATTTTTGATAAAGACGTATGTTGATAAAAAGAAAATCAACAAAGCTGTAAGAAATTCGATGACAAATAAAAGGTCCAAATAACACAAATGAAGTCCCCAAAAAACGTTCCACAAAATACAGAAATATCACGTTGAAAATTTTCATCAGTATCATGAAAAACACGAATAACTATATCAATCAAGCTTTAGACTTTTTGCCTTTGGTCTCAGCAACTACGGGTTTAGCCTTGAAGGGCAAAAACTTCTCTCCGCCCATAAACGGCTGCAAAACCTCAGGGATCTCCACACCATCTTCACGCTGGTAGTTCTCGAGAATGCAGCAAATGGTCCTCTCTGTTGCCGTCAGTGTCGAATTCAGCATATGCACATACTGCTTCGTCTGCTCATTGCTCTGCAACAACAACCACAAAAAAGGAATCACACAACATCCAACATATCTGCGCTTATGAGATGACAACGAGCAGAGAGAGATTTACCTTTTTCTGACCGTATCTGATCTCAAGCCTACGAGCTTGGTAGTCTGTACAGTTGGAACAAGACACGAGCTCTCTGTAAGTCCCAGACGCAGGAAACCAAGCTTCCAAGTCATACTTCTTTGCAGCCGCATCGTTCAAAGCTCCAGAGACGATAGACACGATTCGGTAGGGAAGTTTAAGCTGCAGAGGAACCATAGAATCAGCCAATTAGAAAACACTGAACATTCACAAATCACAAGGCTTTCTCAACTATAAAATATCGGAATTACCGCTTGGTAAAAATCTTCAGAGTTCTTCAACATCTCCTCAAGCATTTCCCAAGAATCATTGTCGTTGGGGCTGGTGATGCAAAACTGTTCAACCTTCTCAAACTGGTGAACACGGAAAATGCCAAGTGTGTCTCTTCCATGGGAACCAGCTTCTTTTCTAAAACAGGTCGAGTAACCAGCATATCTGGATCAAACAAACTATCATGTCAATAACTTTTCTCTTTAAAGATACATAAGAGAATCAATCATCTAAACGCTGCGACTAACAATATACCTTATAGGAAGCTCGGTTGGATGGATCCATTCATCTTTATGGTACGCACAAAGGGGCTGTTCAGCAGTTGCAATAAGGTATTTGTCATCTCCTTCACCAGTCACCTGAACAAAACAACAATCTTCTCTGAATCAAAAGCTCAAGACTACCTTTTAAACAGCATAAGTAAACAAATGCTGTGTGACGGTTATAAACCTTGTAAAGCTCTTCGTCGAACTGTGCCAACTGTGCGCACTTGGCCATGACATCCTTCCTCATGAAAAAAGGGGGTTGCAGTCCTGTGAAGCCTCTCTTTTTCAAGAAGGTTAGCGCAAATTGGATAAGAGCTTGGTTAAGGAGCACACCATCTCCTTTTAGGAAAAAGCCTCTTGCTCCAGCAATTTCAGCACCTGAGGTCAAAAACAGCAGTTTAATAGCCACAAAACGGACTCGCCACAAAACGGACTCGGGATGTGACTAAATTGTCAGCGAAAGCTACCTCTCTTGATATCTGCGAGGTCGCATTCTTCAACGAGATCCACATGGTTTTTCAGCTTCTGGCCAGGCGAAGCAACCCGCCTTTCAGCTTCAGCATAAGTTTTAGTCACAAGATTGTTTGCCTGCAAAATGAAAAGACCATACACTGATAAATCTCTCTCCTTTTTGGTCACCACAATGCAGACCAACCTTGAGGGAAGGAGAAATGGAACAAACCTCATCCTTATCAACTAGAACCGAGTCATGGATGAGATTTCCGACTGTCTCCAATTTGGCTTTCAAAGCAGCATAAGCTTCACGAACTTCCTCCTCCTTCTCGGTAGCGTCTTTTTTGTTTTTCTCTGTTTTCTGAATCACCTCAGTCGCATCAGCTTTAGCCTGTTCCAAAGAAATAAACAAGAGAAAAACAAATCCCATTACAATCGGATAAACTTCCATCAATTTCAGTCAAACGAACTACAATCTTTCCCCCAACTATGGCATTCACACTAATAATACGATATCAATGGATCTTAGAGAAGTTTCATCCTATAAACTAACTTAGAAACAAAAATTCGAAGTAAACTAACAATTTTGAGCTTGGCGACTTCCTTGTTGAGCTTGTTGAACTCTTTTCGGAAATTGTCTACTTCAAATTGACCTGTAACACAGAAATTGTGATAAAATAAAGCTCAATTTGAAAGGAGAGAAACGATTGGGAGTATAAGAATCGATGAAAGAGATACTTACGCGCACGCCATTGTTTGTCGAGGTTGATAATCTCATCAACAACATCAACGTCGGCAAATCGCCGGCGCTGAGATTCCCGGATGATCTCCGGATTGTTCCCCTTCTCTTCTCGAAACAGATTGATATCCAACATTTTTGTTGCTCTTCTCTGTGAATCAAAAGCAGAAACAGAAAAGTTAAATCTCACGAGCTCAATAAACTTTTCAGATCAATCAAATGAAGTGGAGCAACAACGTATCAACATCATTTGAAGAGACAGAGAAGCAAAAACGTACTTGGGACTGTGGAGAAGAAGATGCGACTATCAGCGGCGTTGATTTTACAATCTGCAGGGAAGATAAATCTGTCTAGGGCTTTTGTGTTCTTTCTGCAAATTGTTTTTCTTTATTAATGATGATAAATAGCTGACTTATCCCCGAATTGTTTTATAAATCACAGAAAGCCCCCAAAACTTTCAGATTTGTTGCAGAAACCCCTCATGCAGTCACTCCTAGTCGTAAACAATCTATTCCACGTCGTGGCATTACGAAATTACTATATTCAACGAAATTATGAAATCTGATTGCCCATCTTTAAATTTTTCTTCTGGGCTTAGCCCAGCATAAATTTGAGGGCCCAACATTTTCGTCGTCTCTCTTTGAGTTTGTGAGATTCTCGAGAAAGAGAGCGAACCAGACTCGCGATTCCAATGGTGACTCGGTCCTTACCCGCCACTCTGACACTGTGAGTGTGAGCTACTTTTCTCCTTCCTCACGTCCGCAAACATCCAGGTACAATGTACGGTAGGATCCGTTCCATTGGGAAGACGAGTTTCTCCAGCACCGGCGTTGCGAGGCTCGTGTCTTCACTCGCTTCCACGGATACGTCATCGGTAGCAAATCGGATTAGCTTGAAGGAGATAATCAGAAAGAGCGGTCCACGACGCAGCGTCTCCTCCCTGCTTCAGGAACGCGTCGACTCGGGCCACGCCGTCACGTTATCGGAGCTCCGATTGATCTCCAAGCGGCTCATTCGATCCAATCGCTGCGATCTCGCACTCCAGGTTTGAAATTCTCGCTTTTATCAAATTAAGAATTGGTCAATTTGGCTCGGAAGTTAAGATTTGCCAGTCATGTATGTACACAGATGATGGAGTGGATGGAGACTCAAAAAGATGTGCAGCTAAGTGCATATGACCATGCTCTTAGACTGGAGCTAATCATCAAAAACAATGGCTTGAAAGACGCAGAGGAATATTTTGAGCAGCTACAGAGCTCTGCTTCCTCCCTGAAAGTAGCGAAATCAGCTTATCTTCCTCTTCTTCGTGGTTACGTTAAGGAGAAATTGGTGAAGGAAGCTGAGGCTCTCATGGAGAAGTTGAACGGATTGGGGTTTCTTGTCACTCCACACCCATTCAATGAGATGATGAAGCTCTATGAAACCACTCACCAGTATGAGAAAGTAGTTATGGTTATCACGATGATGAAAGGGAACAAGATACCGAGAAATGTTCTCTCGTACAATCTCTGGATGAACGCATGCTCTGAATTATCTGGCGTTGCAGCTACGGAAAGTGTTTACAGGGAAATGGTTGGTGATAAGTGTGTGGAAATTGGCTGGAGCTCGCTGTGTAGTCTGGCTAATGTCTATGTTAAAGGTGGTTTTGATGAGAAGGCTAATTTGGTGCTTGAGAGAGCAGAGAAGACGTTGAACAGAAGCAATAGGCTTGGATATTTCTTCCTCATCACACTCTATGCCGCTTTAGGAAACAAGGAAGGAGTTGTTCGTCTGTGGGAAGCTTCGAAGTCTGTTTGTGGTAGGATTACTTGTGCAAACTACATATGCGTGTTGTCATCTTTGGTGAAAATCGGTGATCTTGCAGAGGCTGAGAGGGTGTTTAGTGAGTGGGAAGAAAATTGCTGTAACTATGATGTTAGAGTGTCCAATGTTCTTTTGGGTGCTTATGCGCGCAATGGACAAATCCGCAAAGCCGAGTCATTGCACAGCCGTGTGTTGGAGAGAGGAGGTAGTCCAAATTTCAAGACTTGGGAGATTTTGATGGAGATGTATGTGAAGTGTCAAAGTATGGAGAAAGCCGTTGATGCTATGCGCAAAGGATTTGAACTCATGAAGCACTGTCATTGGAGACCTTCCCAAAACGTTGTCATGGCGATTGCCGAGTACTTTGAGAAGGAGGAGAAGATTGAGGAAGCAAACACATATGCTAGAGAATTACATCGTCTTGGTCTTACAAGCTTGCCTTTATACAGATTGTTACTTAGAATGCATGAACATGCTCAGAGGCCAGCTTTTCGCATCTATGAAATGA